AAAAAAAAAAAAAAAAAAAAAAAAAGTAATAATCTTTTCTTTCTTTTTTGTTGGCTGGTCACGTGATCCTTTATCCTTTGCACAAACACGCATACACAAGGGTTGACTAAAATTTCGATGTCGTTTCATTCCACTTGTTATCATCGTCGCTTCTCTCTTCTCGCTCGAAAAACCTCTACGGGCAAGCATGAATTTTGACTCGTTCGTTTTTCCTTTTTTTTCTTCTTTCCTTTTTTTTTTTTTTTTAAACCTCGTTTTCACTTTGATGTCTTCCTTTTTTCTCTTTCTCTATTTTTTCCTCCCTTTGCTCTCCATTTATCTTTCCTTCAAACGAGTCGCGTTACGACGAAACGCAGCAACCAGAGTCCGAATCTCCTATCCCTTCTGATCCTGCACCGAGAGAGATTTGCAACGATTTTCGGTAAAAAAAATTGATTTCGCGGACAAAGAATATCAGTCGATGTCCTAATACCTACCTACTGCCAATATAATTATAACGCTTGAAAAAGGGGCTAGCATCGATATTGTTGCACAACTCGATGATCCCGATTCGCTTTTCCGTGAAAAATATATAAAATCGGAACAGAAGCATCGTTACGAGATTAAAAAAATGCTATTTTATTTTGCATTGTAGCCTCTTGGAGCGAACAGTTCAAGGGGGAATAACGATAATATTCCGGGAATGTTTTGCAACGATAATCGTGAATTTGATGAATCGCGTTCGCGATTATTTTTATTATATTGATTTCTCGCGTTGATCTATTTTCGTAAACATTTTCGTAAACAAGCAAGTATCGAAAGAAAGATAAGAAATTAAAAAGAATCTGGAACGTGCTTCTGTTGTTTCTGTTTCTGCGAAACCCTGCGACTTTTTCCAGTTTCACGCGTATATCCTCTAAAGTGAGCGATCCAATAATGCGATTAACATGCCTACGAACGTCTGACGATGGTGGTGATTCTTTCTAAGAAAACGATCATCGGTTGGCAGAATATAGACGACGCGCGGTACAAAAAGAAAGGATCATTGTTGTTGTTATCGCATTCCTGGCCGAGATTACTCGTTCCGGTAGACAGAATAAGCATGCAAAACATCGTACCCATCTTGTTTTTCCACGTATGCGAAATTGCTCGCGTACGTTGTTCCCACCGTGCGCATGCTCATCACATCGAGGCTTCACCGAACATCAAGACTTTGTCCCATTCTCGACAGGCTTCAGACCTTTAGACCATCAACGACGGCGACGAGGACGACCATGAAAAAAAGGATCTCGAAAAAAATAGGAGGTAGACAAACGCCCATGGCGCACGGTCCTCAGCCTGGAGTGGGTGGGGTCTTATGTCAGTGAATATTAAAGTTATACTGCTTACGGGTGGACGAAATACGAAGCCATCGGCTAACAGCCAATGGCTCCGGGTGACAGTTCGACCAAGATATGTCCCCGAAATGAGGATAGGGAGAGGAGGTTGTCGTAGCCTCGACCTGTATCGCAGTGGACAAGTCCTGTTGATGGTACTCGTGTTTGATCCTCTTCGACTGTCGTTGCGTAACGGGACTCGCACGAGTCGCGTGGTTCAGTCTCTTTCCGTTGATCTGTGTCGCGTGTTGCTGCTCCAATTGTTCCAGTTGCTCGAGCTGGTCCATCGGTTCGAACAGCAAACTGGGCATAGACGATATAGGAGAATGGGCGATATTGTTCGAACGTGGTAGCTCGACCAGTAACTTCGATTTATCCTTGTAAACGGGGGAATAGATGGTCATCGCCGCTTCCTGGTCGATGTCCATCGGTGTCTCAGCCTCGAGGACCGTCGTGACCAACGACGGTTGCGTACACGTGGCTGGCAGTGTTGCTGGCACAGGTATAGCTGGGGACGCTGTGCTCGGTATCAGCGTGGCGACCGACGACGATTCCTCGTTATTAGCCGGCAACGGTGATAGAGATGGCAACACCACGGATATAGGGGCCATCATCGAGCTCGATTGCGACGAACCGGTCGAATTCACTAGCGTCGACTCCAGGCTCCTCAGCTCCTCGTTGGCGAAGTCCTCTTCGAGCTTGGTCTAAAAAAGAGAAGCGTTGGCGACTCGCAATAAGAATCGTAGGGCCCATACGAGATGTGTTGGCGTTTAAGTGCCCAAAAGAAACCATGCCTTACAGGTTTAGTGGAGCCATGCGGGGCCAGACACCGATAAAGCAAATCAACAGCCTGCAATAACAAAAACAGAAAACAGGTATCAACCGACACCCTACTTGCGGACTACTGGTCGCAGCTGACTCGTCTGGGTCATCGATCGATCCATGTTTGTCAGCTACATTACTACTTTCTTTTTCTTCCATTTCTTTTCTCTCTTTTTCTAAACTTTTTTTCTTTTCTTTTCTTTTCTTTTCTTTTTTTTCTTAGCCTCGCTACGTTCCGTCTAGTGCGTCTTAAGAGATCTACGAAAGAGAATGATTTTCGGGTATCGATCGATACCTGATGCCTAACACCTTCTCGAAAACTTGGAAGGAACGAGTGAATTTTAATCGACGGGAAACCAGATTGTTATATCACCTACATCGAATCTAGTTTCTATTAAAAGTACTTGCAAGCGATCGATATAACCGAGCACGACCAGCATTTATTTTTTTTTAATTAAGATCGACATGATCTGTGGTCATGACAACCCTCGAAGGATTCGTACATTTCTTAAAGACGCTGCGGAATTTTATTCCCAATGAAATATTTAACAGAAGAAAATTCAAAAATTTATTGAACTGCGAATCTTTATAGATTTTTCTTTCGAATCGAAGCATTCGAAGCCGTTGAAAATTTGCAAACTATTCTAAAAATTCGAAATTCTAGCTAATGTTCGCTCTAAAAAGATGTGCTAAATTTTTCGAGAATCGATATATTTCTCCCAAAAATGAAATATATAGAAAAAAAAAGTGTTTGAAATAAAGAGGTTCGAAAGTGAATTTGAATAGATTAAAGAGAAAAAGATAAATTACTCCACTACTCGCTTGATTTCACCATATTTTATCAAAGGATAACGAGAAATGAAAGTTTTATTGTATCCATCAAATATCAAATAACGGGTCATGCGTAAATATTATCTTATAAAATGAAATTCAATAAGGAGTACATATTTATAAATATTTATAAATAAAAAAAAAACAAATTTTAATTAAAGAATTTTTAGTCATTGAAGCAAATTTTCTTCAAAGCTTTGAAAATTCTTGATAAACGATACACAATGTTCCTAACGATACATTCACGATCACACGACGATCACAGAGATATCTCAAATAGAAATATGAAAGAAAAAAAAACAACAATTTTTGAACACCAATGAAAAATCAATTTTTCTTTCAACCCAACAAAACAACTTTCATTTCCAGTCAACCAAACCAAAGAATACAAAAATACTTTAAATTTCTCTTCTAATAATTATATACATCTTTCCCCCCAAAAAAAAATCACCATTTACAAGATATGATCGACAAAATACAATAAATAGTGATACTAATTTATACATATATGTATAAAAAAAAGAAAAACTAACAATAACAAAACAAGAGGACGTCGCAGCACGAAGGATCATCACACCGTACACTGTGTTACCAAGAATATGTATATACCACAGAAGAAAAATCGAAGAATAAAAAAAAAAAAAAAAAAAAAAAAAAAAAAAAAAGAACAAAGAGATACAATAATATCGATACGGTAACTCCTTACCTTTGGCAGTGGATACGTGTCTGGCAGCGATAGAACGGGTGGCGAGCTGGGTGCTTCCGTTTCGATGGTCAAGGTGGGAGTGGTAGGTGTTAAGGGGTTCAAGCTCGAAGTCGCGGAAGATACGGTCACCGTACCGGTCACGGTCACTTTTGTCGGCCTGTTCGGGACATCTTTTGAGGCACGATGCTCCGCGAGGAGTTTGTCAAAAGTTTTACTCCGACCGACGACCGTCCGGCGCAACGAGACCGTGTGCGCTTTGCACGTGAGCGACCTGGTGCAAGGTTTGCCGGTTTCCTCGTTCCACACTCCGCAATGCCTGTCCGGATCGTATTCCCGATCCTTGAGCAACGATCGGTCAGTTTTGAGTCTCTTCCGGCGAGGTTGACCC